GCCTGCATATATAGTAAGACTTTGTAAGATTCCTTAGGAGGAATGTCCACTAAGGGTAACATGTACAACCTTAGATCGGACTGTGTAGGTAGCAGGGCTTTATAAGATTCCTTAGGAGGAATGTCCACTAAGGGTAACAAGTACAGCCTTAGATCGGCATGCGTATGTAGCAGGGCTTTGTGAGATTCCTTAGGAGGAATGTCCACTAAAGGTAACACGTACAGCTTTAGATCAGCCTGCGTATGTAGCAGAGCTTTGTAAGATTCCTTAGTACTTTGAACAAAATGTTCAAAAATATGAAGTATCTTTTCATTGGTGTGATTGACATTACAAGTGGGCTTTATATGTCACGAACTTTTCCCGTTTATTGATAATACTGCTTGAGGTGTTAGACATTCCAAGGATGGGGTAAGGGTCTACCCTTCAAGTCTTCCAGCTCATATCCCTCTTTTAGCAGGACCTTTGTTATCAGATAGGGGCCCTCCCAATTCAGACCCAGGCATCCACTGCCTACCTCTCTTGTAGGGAGGAATACTTTCATTAATACGAGGGATCCTACTTTAAATTCTCTTTTTCGGACTTTTTGATTGTAGTACTTGGCGTTCCCCTACTTGTAAACGATATTTTTAAGTTCAGCATTATTCATTTTCTCCTCGATTAGGTCGAGTTCCGTACAAAGAGACATGTGGTTCCTTTTTTCATCGTAATCAGTTATGCGTATTGAGAAAATGCTGACTTCTAGTGGGATCACAGCTTCTACAGCGAAAGCCAGTGAGAACGATGTTTCTCCCGTGCTAGTCCTTGCAGTGGTGCGATAAGATCATAGCACACTGGGGAGTTCGTCGGCCCATCCTCTTTTAAACAAGTCGAGTTTTGCTTTCAATATATGCTTGATAATTTCGTTAATGACTTCGACTTAGTCGTTTGCCTGCGGATGGTTTAGCGTTGAGAAATATTTCTTGATGCCAAACTCTTCACAAAACTCTGAAAGTCGTGCGTTGTCGAACTATTTTCCATTGTCCATAACAATAGAGTAAGCTATGCCGAACCTGCAGATGATTGATTTTCACAAAAGTCGATTGTTTTCTGTTCGATTATCTTGGCAAGTGGCTCTACCTCGGCCCATTTGGTGAAGTAATCAGCTGCGACGATGGCAAATTTTACACCTCCTTTTCCAACGGGCATATGTCTAATTAGGTCGACCCCCCATTTCCCAAAGGGCTAAGGTGCTGTTATTGGGTTCAACTCGTGCAGTGGAGCGTTTATGATGGGGGCGAGGCGCTGGCATTTGTCTCATCTTTTGACAAATTCAAGGGAATCGCGTCTTATTGCAGACCAGAAGTATCATTGTCGCATGATCTTGTGGGCTAATGAGAGCCCACCTGAATGGTTTCCACATATTCCTTCGTGAACGTCTTGCAGGGTATGCTGAGCTTCATCTTCATTTAAACACCTTAACAAAGGTGTATCCCCATTTGTATAGTACATCATCAATGAGTGTATACTTGGCCGACCTGATTCGAAGCTTTCTAGCCTCTGCAAAATTTTTGGGACATTTCCTAATTTTTAGGTAGGTGACGATCTCATCCCGCGAGGTTGGTTTGTGCTCTATCATCATATGGACCACTTCGTCCAGCTCGGTAGACGGTAGGGATATTCTTTCCACGGGGATGCTATCAAATTATTCAATTCCCTCACTGGTGGCTAGCCAGGCCAGTGCGTCGGCGTGACCGTTCTGGGATGGGAAAATTTGCTTGACTTCAGTGGTGTTGAACCTTCCAAGTTCTTTTCTTACAACTTGTAGATAGTTGTCCATTCTTTCTTCTTTCGCCATATATACATCGTTGACCTGATTTACAGCTAGTTGAGAGTCGTTGTGTATGATCAGGTAGGAGATCCCCAACCCTGAGGCCGTCCTTGTGCCGGCAATGAGAGCTTCGTACTCTACCTCATTATTTGAGGCTTTAAAGTTAAATGGCAAGGCTTCGTAGATTATGTGATGTTCAGGGCTGATTAATATGACGCCTACCTCAGATCGTTCTCCGTTGGATCAACCGTCGACATAAAGTCTCTATGGGGTTTCTTCTTGTAGTTCCTCGATTGGGACTTTGCAGAACTCAGAGACAAAGTCGTCGAGTGCTTGGCCCTTGATGGAGAAACATGGCGTGTATTTGATGTCGAATTGTCCGAGCTCGACTGCCCATTTTACCATCCGACCTGAAGTGTCGGGTCATTGTAGTGTTTGCCTTAATGGAGAGTTGGTGAGGACCTCAATGGGGTGTTCCAAGAAATATGGCCTTAATTTTCGCGCGGCCATCAGCAGTGTGAATGCCAGTTTCTCTACAAGTGAATATCTGAGCTCGGCTTCGTGAAGCGCCTTGCTTACGTAATAGACTGGGTGTTGAACACCATTTTCTTCTCGGGTTAGAACTGCACTAATGGCGTGTTTTGAAATAGATAAATAAAGCTTCAGGACCTCGCCGGCCTTCGGTTTTGAAAGCAATGGAGGCTGAGCTAGTTGTCTCTTTAGCTCGTTAAAGGCATCCTGGCATTCTTTGGTTCATTCGAACTTCTTTCCTCCTCGTAACGCGTCAAAGAAGGGTTTGCAACGGTCCGTAGACTTGGAGACGAACCGGCTGAGGGCGGCAATCCTTCCGGTTAAACTTTGTACCTCTCTAGGTTTAGTTAGAGGCCTCATTTGGACGACATCTTGTATTTTTTCAGGATTTTCCTCTATTCCTAGGTTGTTCACAATGTAACCTAGGAATCTTCCAGAGCTGAACCCGAAAGCACATTTCCTTGGGTTCAACTTCATTCCATACTTCCTCAGTATATCAAACATCTCGATCAGGTGCTGACAATGATCCTTGGCCTTGATGCTTTTGACCAGCATATCGTCAACATACACTTCCATTATTTTTCTAATCTGTTGGGAAAACATGAAATTCACTAGTCGTTGGTAGGTTGCACCAGCATTTTTGAGACCAAATGGCATTACTCTGTAGCAATAAAGACCTCGATCAGTTATAAATGAGGTATGTTCTTTATTTGGGCCGTACATTAGTATCAGGTTATATCCGAAATATGCATACATGAAGCTAAGTAGTTCATGTACGGCAGTGGCGTCCCCATTTGATCTGTTCTTGGCAAAGGAAAACTGTCTTTTGGGCATGCTTTGTTGAGGTCGGTAAAGTCTATGTATACCCTCCAATCTCTGTTGTGTTTTTTCATAAGGACCGAATTTGCGACCCACTTCGATTATTTGGCCTCACGGAGGAAACCGTTATGCAACAATTTTTGCACCTCTTTGTTGAGTACTTCATATATATATATATATATATATATATATAATATTTATTTATTTATTTTATTTTATTTTTTTGTAAAGACATCCACATATCCTTAGTGACTTTTTAGGGTCCACCAAGGAAGGTTGATGGGGGTTAAGGGTTCCCCAACCATATTTATTTCATAAAAATCAAGAATACACGGAAGGAGGGGGGCATGAACCTGACCTCCAAAAAGCAGTGATGCAACAAATGAATGTAATAAATGAAAGCAATAAATGAGGAAGTACTACTTCCCTATACAATAAAGAATAGCCTAAATTACGAACCTCTAAAACTGGGCAATCCATGTCTGTCGATCCGCACTATCACCCTGAACTGAAAGATCCACCTGTAATTTGTGGCATGCGATCTTGTGGTCCATTCCTCTCATATCCCCGTGATTCCAGGCGAAGACATCAAGGTTTTGTCTAAGGAAGGCCACAATTTCGTTTCGGGTGGATGGTTGTAGCTCGCTCCCGACTTTGAGCTCCTTTGTTGGGTCCTTGGCACAGACTTGAACTTCTTCTAGTTCTTTGACGGGGTCTTTTCCTTCGATCCTGATCCGCGGGTCTAGTGGAATGAGCTCGAATTTCCATACGTTTGCCTTATGCACTCTTGAGGAGTTGCGTTAATGGCTGGTACAGGTTTCCCTCATGGCGGTCGTTTGAGGGTCCTGCCGTCGTATAGAACTTGGTGGTGTATTCGTTTCATAAGGGTGGGTGTGAAATGGATTTCTGGAACTTGAGCTACGACTCATGGCTCTCGAATTTTGTGGAGAGAATAAGACTATTTTTCACAATTAGGGCCCTCTTTCAAGCGCCAAACTGTTGACGTCAAAATTAGTAAGGTTAATCTTAAGCCAACTTTAAAAAAAAAAGGCGATTTATTATTGAAAAAAGACCACAAAATATGTTTAGAGAGCGTAATTATACCTTAAGTTGTTATATGAAATCACTTGCCCTTTACAAGAGTCATATTTAACTATTTATACATAGTTTCAACCGACATTACATTAAATCAGTCGAATCAGCAACAGTACCGAGATCGGAACTCGGGTCACCGGATTTTCTTGTGATTGGTCGATGAGGCCGGTGGCCATGTGTCAATGTTTTCCCCAGGTAATGATGACCCGCAAGGGGCTGGAAGTTGATGACTTAGGATTGGTTGTTCCGGGCGATGATGATGTCACCTGTGGCAAGTGTATTTGATTGATAGGGTAATGTGACAAAGGGTAATCATGATATTTTTTTGAGATAACGGCGGGATTGTCCGACCTGGGAGTAAGGACCGAACTCACATTTAACCGAGGTGGGGTTGACGAACTGTTTTTATTAGATTGGAGTTCGGATGTCAACATCAAGCGTTTAACCTTGTGCTTTGCAAAGCATGGCCTAATCAAGAATTGAATTCTTTTAAATGAAATTGAAGTTTCATTACTTTTCAGAGGTACAAAAGGAATTCTCGGTAAGAAAACATATTTTCGACAACATTCGCCAAATGTAATTTTAGCAAGAATTACATTCTTATCAAATTTTCTACAAGTAAGGCGTGTTCCATTGCATAGCCTCTAGAAGGATTGATATTCCGCAATAATATCACAAGACAGTTTATCTTAAGCTTCAATTTATGTGGTGGAATACCATTTGAAGTCAAAGTATTCAAAAAATCTTCTTATAAGCTCTGTTCTGATTTGTCAATCGCTTCATCAAAACTATAGTATATGTGAATTTCACTAGGAATCTGATCAAGTAAAATTCTGTTAATAGGATCGACACATTCATTTCTAAGCGTAAGAATGACTCGATTTCCCGTCATATGTAAATTATCAACATATGCTTCTATATTCAGAAAAACATGATTTATCAAAATTTTGAGAGATGTAATTTCATCCTCAAATGGTATGATTATATTGTTTGGAAGCTGAATGCAGTTACAACTGTGTTCTTGCTCTGTTCCATTTCCAACTTTGAGTAAATAATCACAAAATATGGGATCCAATTTCGCTCTTATGTTCTCAACCAACGGTAGATGTGAATATAAAGGCTATAGCTCAGAGAAGACTAAGCTAGCTTTCATTATGTCTTCTTTTTTCCCTCTTGGTATCGCTGGTAAAACTTGTCAAAAATCTTCTCCTAGAATGACCACTTTTTCACCAAAAGGCAAGTTACAATCAGTAATATCTCTGAGCATTTTAGCAACAGCTTCAACGGCACAACGATTCACCATAGGTGCTTCATTCCAGATTATTAACTATGAAATTTTCAACAAAATCCCTAGAATTGATTGCTCACTTACAGAACAGCTAACTTTACCAACTGTTTTCAAAGGAATTTTAAATCTTGAATGAGTTGTTCGACCTCTAGGTAAAAGAGATACAGATACTCCAGAAGACACTGTCGCTAAAGCAATTAAATTTTGAGACCTCGCACCAGTTAGGAGAGCTTTATATAAAAAAGTTTTGCCCGTTCATCCTGGACCATCAATGGAAAAGACCCCATTCGATTTGGAATTTACTTTTTCCATAATTGTATCGTACGCAAATTGTTGCTCATTATTTAAGCTTGCTGCACGAGCATAACCTCCTTTTATATCCAAATTTATTGTCTCTTCTGCAACCATTCTTCTCAATCTTTCATTTTCATCTATATTTACACCGAACAGTACTATTTCATAGTGATTTATGTTTTGACCCGATAATTCTAAAATAGAATTGATGTCTTGTAACGCTCGTACTTCAGCAACCCCTAAAGGTATATTTTTACATACATAATCATCGATCATATAAACTTTAAATTTATCCCACAGTAGTTTTGGATGATTAGGGTTACAAAGTGTAAGAAGCGAAGCAAAAAGACGTCTTAAAGAAGTAGGCATTTCATAAACAATAGTTTCAGATAAATATTTTTCACAATGATTGTCTTCGCCTAACAAACCATGTAAAAGTGTTGCCTCTCGATATGTACTAACAGTTGTACCGTTTGAAGTTCGAAAATCACGAAATGATGTTGGACCTCGAATATGATTGAGAAGAATGCGCAAAAAATATCGTTCTCCTTCAAATGGTTTAGCCGTTACAATTCGTCCTAGAACAATATGTTTTTTTTTTTTTTTTTTTTTTTTTTTTGGAGTCCAAATCTTCTTAGTTGAGTTCCAAGCAAAATGTGTTGGAAAATCTCGATATAACAGTGTATGAGCAAATTCATTTACTTGAAAAAAACTGTTAACATTGTTCTTTTTGTATTTTCATTCTCATTAACAGTAGATAAATTGTCTTCGTCATCATATCTTACTTGATGGTTTTTTATATGAAGTTGTAAAGAATAAACAGTTGGATAATTTTTGCCACATCGAAAGAAAAAATTATCTACATAGTTTCAGGTGGAGTTATCCATCCAGTAGATTGATAAGCGGAGATTTCATCAATTTCTTTTCCTGTTTCATTTGTGGCAATTGAAAAATGAATACGATCATATCCTTTATACACATATTTGTACAAATACTTTACAGCTTTAATAGAACATACTTCAACATTAATGTGACAATCAAATTTTGCGCTTAAATAAGGATTATATGGTACAACCCATTGATTGTCTAACATTTGATCTCTAATTTTAATAGAAATACCGTTATCATGACGTTTATACAAAAGATATGAGTTGTCACCAAATATAGTAGTATTACAATAATCCCTTGGGTATTTATTTTTGCAACTTTTATTTGCTTCCATACATACATTTTTTGGATTGAGGTCTCTACAAGGGCCATGCATATTATTTTTAACAATAACAGAATGAAGATGAGGATATTTTTTTCATCAGGAATTCCACAAGAAACTATCTTATCAACATTTGTAGCAGAACAAATTTTGTGGCCATAGCTAAAAATCAAAAATAGATGTGCATGAGGAAGCCCTCTTTTTTGAAATTCAATAACATATGTATGCGCAACAACAGGGCCCAAAATATTTACTTTGTATAAATCATTTTTCAACTCTTCTAATTTTGCTCTAAATATGTGTGCAATTAGATCTGGTCAATTTTGAATCTCATCATTGTGCTTTTGTTCTTGCTTAATTTTCGGCCAATTTAGATTACATATTATAGTCAAGAAGATATATGATTTTCCATAATGCTGTACAATAGTCATTGCATCCATATATTTCCTTAGCATATCTCTAAGCCCACATGTAAAAGACTGAGGTAGAACAAATTTTCTTCCAATTTTGTACGCTCTTGTCTCTCCATTTTGAATGCTATCTACAATACCTTGATAAAGTTCAACTCGAATTTGTTTCTAGTTGTTACGAAAATAGTCTAACCGTGCAGTTTCGATCTTAACATACATATCTACAACATATTGCTGAAGCAATCTACCACTGTAAAGTAAAACAAACTTACCAGAAGGCATAATTTGCAATTTATATGAATAATATTCTAGACATGAAATATGAAATTGTTTCTTCATTCCATTAAGCACTGTAAAACAAAATTCATCATTCATTTCTAACATTGACATTGCAAAACTTAGTAGAATGTACAATAAAATATATTTGGAAACCTTGATTTTCTTTTTCAATAAATTCAGCTGCAGAGGTAATTGTATTAGGAAACGCAACAAATTTAGACAAACATTCAGGTTGAAAATAGGTCCTTCTGCACCTCTCAATGCCTTCATGCCAATCAGATTCTCCATATAGGAAAAGTAATGGATACTATAAAAGATCATAGCAACCATAATAATAATGAACTCTATGTGAATCACCAGAATGGCCGTATATAGTAATGCCCCGAACATGAACATTAGCATTTTCATCGTGTTCGACCCATTTAGCAGCTACTTAAGATGATGTAGAAGTATTGAAAACTCTTTGATCAAGTCCTGGATCACATCTTATGTGTATTCGATGGTCTCGCAAGTTAGTCATATTACTTAAAGATTGAAAGAATCTACTATATGGATTCACCTTTAGGATTTCAATTAGAACAATTAAAGTACATTAATCAAAGTTCTCTGAAACTTTCATACGATTTTGAAGTTCATTACTTGTATCATAAAAATATAACTGCATATAAGAAGGCGTACTATTCTGTGGGATAAGTTCATTTACATAATGATAAACTTGGCCTTGAACTCTAAATCTGTAAATACCTCTATATGCTTTAAAGAGCTGTTTATCATATTTGACACCAAATGAAGTGAAAGCAAAGTGGTTATTATATCCCCGTGCAATTTTTTTAAATTTCATACATTGAGGTTATTTAGAAGTAAACAAGTTGTATAATTCAATTGGTGAATCTGGCACAGAGAGATGAACTTTTCCATCAGAACAACAGAAACCTTTACTTTATAAATTTTTTTGCACTACAATGTTTACAGCTATTGCATGTCGGTAATACATATGCGGTTGTTGGTATGTGATATGATCTAAGAGTCGAGCTCGACGAAGGCGAGTGCGAGACGAGATTCGTTGATAGTCGATGGCGGACCAATGACGCGATCAAGGGTAAAGCAAGTGAAACAAGCGATGGGATTGCTTGCTCAAGAAACCATTGATGGAACCATGTTCGGGACTCAAAATGGAGTCACTTTCATGTTCGGGTCGAAGGCCGAATCAACTTGGATCAATTTAATATCGAAGGTCGAAGACGGAGGAAAATGATAAGCCTATGTGACCGCATAGGCTTATGAGGCTTGCGGTCGCACGGAGGCTTACCGAAACTCAAAGGGGGAAACTTACTTGAACTATGCGACTGCATAGAAATGAATGTCGCGTTCGCATAGACCAAAAATTTTGGCGAATGTTCTAATTTTGGCAAATTTTCATATTTTGTTAGTTTTTTATTCTTTTCCATATTTTCGGGATTATGATCGACTTTTGTACAATTTTTACCTAGTTTTTAGGTTTAGTATAAATAGGAGTTTTCATTCAATTGTTAAAAACCTTTGACATTTTTGATATTGAATTAAAAGTGAGGCGTATTGTCTTATCTTCATCATTCTTCATTGAACAACTTCGAACTTATCAAGTGTTAACTTGTGGCATTCAAACAATCGGATTCAATTCTTGGATTGCGTGATCAAGGGGTCTTTTAAGCGTCATTCTTGTTAGGTTTTTTTGTTCAACTTTCTTTTGAATTAATCCTAAACTTTTGACTTTCTTGGGTTCGTCAATCTCGTTGTGGGTTTCGTAGTCAACGTTGTTACGGGATTCGCATCAGTTGGTATCAGAGCAAGGCTCCAAATTAATTGAAGGTTATATCTTTTCGTTATTTGTTAAGTATTTTCTTGTTTTCTTCATTCTTCCCAATTTCTATTGTCATTCTTGTGTCATTAAATTCTCGTCAATTTCAATTCATTGAGTTGTTGATAGTTTAATCACTTTTTCTTTACAAGAGAAGTAAAAAAAAAAAAAGAGTATTGTTCATCTTACGGTTACTGTTCATCCGTACAGTAAAATTATAAAAAAAAATTGATATTATTATTTCTTGTTTTGTTTTTTTTACTACCAATATAAAAATAACTCTTGAATTGTGTGATTTGACTATTCCATTGCGTCGATTCTTCACTTTACTATTAAGTCTATTCTCATATTCTTGTAAAAAAAAAGACAATCATCTATTCCACCTAAATTCAATTCCTTGAGTCTTGTGGTTCTTGGTTATTATTCGATTTGTTGAATTCCCGGTAAAACACTTGATTTAGTTCACTTGGTTCTTTGAAGTGCTTGGAGGGAGACTTGAGTAGTAAAAGGCAGAGTGGTGAGTTTAATAGAGGGAAAAAGCCATATTGAGTGTTTTTGAGTGATATATTTGTGAAGCATATAAATTTGTGTGACATGATGTCAGAAAGAGAAGGTTCCAACTCAAGTCGAAACGATAATAATAACAATGCTTCGAAAGACATGATACGGAGGTTTGAACGGGTACTTGGTGATGTTAAGGAGAAAGTGGATAGGCAAAGGGAATGGATGGTGCAAATAGGTACCACAATCACTAATCTCAACCGGGGACAAGTGGAGATGTCTAATGCTAGGAGCCGGGTAGGCATGAATCTAGGATAGGAAGGCGGGATGAGTATCATAGTGATGATGATGATTTTGATGAAAATGACATTGATATGGGTCGAGCGAGGCATAGGGGCGATAGGATGGTAAGATGGGGTAGAAATAACTTGGGAGATGAAGTAGATGAAAATTTGGGGAGTATTAAAATGACTATTCCGCAATTTAAGGGGAGAAGCGATCCGGAAGCATATTTAGAGTGGGAAAGGAAGGTTGAGATGATTTTTGAGTGCTATAATTATTCGGAAGAGAAAAATGTAAAATTGGCGGTGCTTGAATTTGTGGATTACGCGATATCTTGGTGGGATCAAGTACTTACATCCCGACGTAAGGGTCGGGAAAGGCCAATTAGCACTTGGGATGAGTTGAAGACGTTGATGAGGAGGAGGTTCGTTCCGAATCACTATTATAGGGAAATCCATCAAAAATTGCAAGGTTTGTATCAAGGGTTGAAAAGCGTAGAGGATTAGCACAAGGAGATGGAAATTCTTATGATTCGAGCTAATGTGGAGGAAGATCGGGAAGCTACCATGGCACGGTTCTTGAACGGGTTAAATCGGGATATTGCAAACGTTGTATAGTTGCAACACTATGTGGAAATCGAGGACATGTTACATGTGGCAATGAAGGTCGAGAGGCAATTGAAGAGAAAGGGGACGTCTAGGCAACCGTTGGGTACTTCGAATTCTAATTCAACATGGAAATTGAAGTGGGATGACAACAACAAAAACGGGGCTGCACCTAGAGTAAAAGTGATTGGCAAAAGGGTAAGGATGAAAACACTAGCAAACCAATATCAAAATCGAAGGCTAAA